AAAAAAGAAGGGACTGACTCTATGGCACATAATCATTTCATTCAGATTTAGGGCAGACATTTTCTAGTTTATTTAAACCTAAAGATGTTTTATCAGAATATCCAGAATAAACTAGTTTCCTAAAAATAATATATTGGCTTTAAAAAGGATTCACACGATAGATATCAAAAATATTACATGTAAAATTGAGTGGTAAGATTGTGGAATATTTCATTTCTTTTGGGAACAGGTCCCTGTATTTTCTAAGTTTTCTACAGGACAGCTACCAAAAATATTACAGGGATTAAGCTTGGGTGGTAGGATTATGATTTAATATCTTTGGGGACATTTCTGTGTATTTTTTAGGTTTTCTATAACAAAACTACGTTACTTCTGTAATCAGAAATAAAATGTAACTTGCAGAGGAAAGAAAGTCTATTCATGCCGGCTTCACCTCCACACCTCCTTAGTTCAAGTCACTGACACCTCCTGTCTGCAACACATCTTCCAGCTTTCTCTCTGGCCCTACGGTGCCTTCTCCCTTTAGCAGCCATAATGCTCCTTTAAAATGTAGAGTCCTCCAGTAAGTTCACTGCACTCAAAGAATTCATTCTCCACAAGACCCATCCACCTGGCCCTGGCCTATCCCTCTGATCTTAGCTCCTAATTTACCCCTCCCCCCAACACCTGTCCCTAATTCCTACCCACCCTCACCCACTTCCACCACCACACCTTTCCCTAACCCTCTCCCTCCCCAATGCCTTTCTCTGCCCAGCCACACTGCTTTACAGCTGTCTCTAGAACAAACCAAGCAACCAGGAACAGGTCCTCAGACTTCACCTCCACACTGGTCCTGAATCAAATATTATCTCTTCAGAGAGGGCTTACTTGAGTGTCCTACCAGAAGACACATTCCATACTATTTCTTGGTCTGTGAAGAACAGCACTTACAAGGACCTGATATTTTTTTATTTAGGAACCACCATCCCCTTGCACCATATTATAAGCCCTTTGAGAACAGGAAACTTACTCATCTTGTTCAAACATCTGTCCTGAATATCACCACAGAGCTAGTCATATAGATGCGCAATGAACTTTTGGTAAGGGGTAGGGGTTATCAGCCGGCAAGATTTTATTGCACATTGCCTTCAAGTTTATGTTGTGTTTGAGGAAGCTATTAAGATTGCGCATTTTCTTTCTCAGCACACCATGACATCACCGTTGCCAGATCGTGTGATATACTGAAGTAGAAGCAGAAAGCGAGGATTGAGTTATCCTTGTTCCTTCGTATGCTTTTACTGGGGGCTCCTGGGAACTGAACTAAGAGATTCACCAGGTTAACTCTGCAATGGTTTTTTTTTTTTTTTTTTTTTACATGTGATATAACCAAAACATTCAAACACGATAATGCAAGAAACTTCAAGATAAAGGAGGGAGTGGAACGTAGATATGTTCCAAAAAATGCAGATATTCAAACTGGATTTGTACTCTTATCCTCCCATTGTTGAGCTATTCAGCAAAAAACGATGTCACAGAGAAACAAAACCAGGCTTATCCTCAAACCTTAGGATGTCTTTGTATTCCCAAATTAAGTTCCTAGCAGTGACAATTTGAAAGTTGCTGGCTGGGCTAAAAGCTAAGTATGCCCTTGAAATAGGCCCAGAATCCCTGGGATTTTGGACATAAATAGATCAACTAGTTTGATGTCTGGCTTTTTGCCTAGACTCCAGTTAATACTTGAGAATTTCTAGTTCTGTATGGGTACAGTTATCTTTTCCTTAAATTGCTAAAACCCAAGCTAAGAGTTGTCCTAAATAATGGAAAACATTTATTAAATCAAAGGCAATCAGTGACTGACACCTTTCATGCCATAAACATAGCTGATTAGCTCTTTTTAGACTGCTACAATCTGATGGGAGGGATAGCTGAGGAAGTTCTATGTGATTATTAAAATGGAAATATTTCTGATCATGTACCTCCTCTCTTGAAAATATATGGGATTTATCCAGATCTAGGTTTTGAGAATCAACATATTGCAGCTGAACTGGGTTCGAATCCTAAAACTACTTGAGCCTATCTCCAAAACAGTGGCAGAAATAGAGCAGACAGTTCTTATTTAATAAAGGAAAAGACTGGAAAAGATCTATACCTATTAGGACTAAAGTTCTAGTACTATTTGATTGTGAAGAGGAAAAACGAAATTCATTATATTTCAAGTGTTTCCTTCACAGACTGAGGGTGTCTGTGACATCCTACCTGTTTTCTATCGGATATGGAAGAACCATGAACAGTGGGCAGACTGGGACAGGTTAGTGACAAAGGCTGGGATGGCCCCACCACCATCCTCAACTCTTCTAAAGGGAAACACTGGAATCCTCATCATGTGTCATGATTTGTCATAGCTGGATGACAGGGGAGGGGAGAGGAGAAGGAACCGAATGGCCTGCCTAACATCCAAACGTAGAATAACTTTGTTTCCTGTTTTCTTCTTCTTCCAGCTGATCATTAAGACTCCCTTCTAGGTGATGGCTGAGAGTAGTTCTTAGTATTAGAACAAACTTTATGTCTAACTAGAACCGGAATGATCACTACTAATTAGGTAAGGGGAAAAAACACCTCTCAGAAACCATTCCACAGAAAGAGACCAAGAACGAGCAGAGGCAGGCCTCAGATGATAGTTTTTCTCAGTAGAACCCCGGGTCTTTTGGAGCTTCTGAAAAAGGTGCTTCTTCTGTTAATTCCACTGAGGGACAGCTGGGTTTGTGTTCAGGTAGTATGAACCTGTAAAAATCAGAGGCCAGACTACTAACCTCAGAGTCCCTGGCAGCTTTTGTCTTGCCACAGGTCAGCCAAGAGTTCAGAACTCAGGGTGTCAGGAATGTATAGAGCCAGAATATTTACACGAGAAAAGGGAGGAAGGAATGGATTTCTCCCAGTTCCCAGGCTAGTAACGAGACTTTAAAGAACTTTATCCTTTCTGTAGAACAAAGCCTGTTGAACTCAAGGTAGTTGGTTCCAGTCCCTACAAAATAAACTAGAAATAGGAATTTTTAGGTCTGGGTAACCTTGATCCCTCACCCTTTCTTACTAGAAGTTGTTCACTTATTCATAGTTAAATGGGCCCACAAGTGAATGGATCACAAACACCTGTTATGTTAAAAAAAAGAAGGCTTTAACTGGGGGTTGTACGAAAACAATGAATCGTGGATCATTGCATCCAAAACTGGTGATGTATTGTATGCTAACATAATAAAATAAAATTTAAAAAAAACGAAGGCTTTAGGGGAGGAAGAGAATGGATGAAATAGGTGAAGGAGATTAAGACACTTATCATATTGAGCACTGAGCCCTGTGTAGAATTGTGGAATCACTATATTGTACGCCTGAAACTAATATAACACTGTATGTTAATCATACTTGAACATAAAAACTTAAATATAAATGACTAAATATCAAGCCTCCCCAAATAAATAAAAAGGCCTTAAAAGCAATAATCTGTCCAGAAATTCTAACTTTTTTCCAGTCAGGTATTTCCATGAAGTATTTCCTTATCTTTTTCCTTCCTCTATCACTGCAGGAGTTATATTTTTTTCAGTTTGGGTCCTTTGCTGTCTTAGAGAAATAACATACTGTTTTTAAATAAGTTGTTATTAATAAGTTTATCTTTAAATTGAGGAAATAAATCTAACAGCTGATTAGAAAGAAAACATTTTTTTTTTTTGCCCCATTTGATTACAATCGCTAAATGTTAGGGAATACTTGTAGACCTACTCTTGCTTAGTAGGTTGGGGTTTACTTGGAAAAGTGATCCTTTCAAAACCTCCAGCTGAATTAACAGTGATGGAAACTGTAGCCACTATTACATGTCATTTTGGACAATTTCTTTGGTAGTGCAGAGTTTACATTTATTTGAATACTCTATGTTCTGAAAACCTTTTATGTGAAGATCCATCTGAAGATGTTGACTCCAGCTTTCATCAGAAATATTAATTTGCAACCACGAAGTTGATTTACATGTTTACTTTTTAGCTGATGCCTCTGTGGAGAAGCTATCCTGCTCAAGACCCAAAGGATATGAGGTGTACTAATTTTTTTTTCTTTAAATTTGGGGACTCCTATTGATCTCTTGGGAGTTAAACCCTGAACATTTGTTTTTACAAATAACCAGATACCTGTAGTATGAACGTTTCCTTTCTAGTCAGTTGAAGTTCAATGCTGAGCAAGGTTGATGTTGAATTTTATTATTCTCTCTGGGCTGTAAGTGAAATCAATCATTTCGAAAAGACTGCCAATTATGATATCCATTTGCCTATAGGGTATAAAGTATCTTTCCTTAGAATATGCCAGGAATTTTTTTTTTTTTTTAAGTACTTTTAACCTCATCTTGTAAATAGAGACCTAAATTTTACCAAGCAGGTCGGGGACAGGGTTAAGAATAACAGGGGTAATAAAGAACACTATTGCTTACTTCAACTTCATCCCTGCAAGGATTTTTAAATCACACAAAAAGTCCTGTTTTTCAGTCTCCGTTAAACGCAAACTTGCAGCGTGAGAACAAGGCTAACAGTTACAAAACGTTTCCCAGCTGTGGACTTCAGAGCTAGCAAAAGCAATGAAAAGAGAAAAGCATGCAAAAGGAGCCCTCCTTACCTGAAGTGAAAGCAGAACACCAGCTTCGTTACAACTGTAACCATCCTTCCCAAGTCAAGAGCCGGGAATGCCAGAGTGACAAGAAGTCAAGAAGGAAGCGAAGGTTGGAGCGGCTGCAAGAATCTTCCCAGGGTCCTTTCTCCCGCGACACACCTCCTCTCTCAGGCTCAGAAGACAAGAGGCTCTCACTCCCCCTTCACGGTTAACCACAAGCCTGTCATTTCGGCTCCGTCACTCAGCAGCTGCTAGAAGCACCGGGCTGCCGCGTGCACACCGGGGGTGCTGAGCACGAGCCCCGCGCTGAGCAGGCGGAGTGCGGCCCGGGGAGCCCGGGGCTGCGCGGCCACAGCTGACGATCCTAAAGCCGCACGTTACTGGGCAGAGAGCAGCTTTCCAGGAACGAGGACCAGCTGCGGCACAGCCCCGGCGCTTCGCGGAGCCCAGGGCAAGCTGGAGCTCGCGGGGAGCTCAGGAAGCGGCCCGGCTACTGAGCATGCTCGGCTGTCTCCGGTGCGGCTAGGGCCTTTCAGCCGGTGACTTCTCTTCTTGATTTGAGAAAGGGAGAACGGAGAAGTGTGCGGAGGGTGAGATTTAGTGGAGGTGATTTCTTCAACGTGGAGATGACCTTCTCCCAGCCCCCACCACCAACCCCCCCCCCAAAGACATTGCATTGCAATTAGCAAATATTATTGTAGGTTGATAGAGATGTTTGGAAGCTATCACTACTGTTTAGTCTTTCTGCACAATTAAGTTGTCTCTGGGGTCAAGTATACTGTAGGCAGTGAAAGGATTTTTATCCTAGAAAATCACTATCACTCAAAGATTCGGTATGAAATTGCCTATATTTGAAAGTCTGAGTAAGCAATGCGTCATGAATCAGTTGATATATACATAATGAAATCTGCCTAAAGACGATGACCTTCTTAAGAAAAACATTTTATAAAGTGTGCAATTTTTGAGATTTAAATGTTAAATTATATCATAATAACTCACATTTTGAAGTTTAAATCTTTCAGATGGCAAGCTTCAGATACCAGGGAATGTTGCTTATTCAGGACTGTAAACCAAATCCTTTATCAGGGCTTGGTAAATGACAAGTACTCCATAAATGCTTTCAAGAGAATGAATTGTGGGTTGATCTGTAAATGGCACAGGAAGGCTGAAGTTCTTGAATTTGATATGAACTCTTGACCTTCTTAGCTTTGTGTTTTGGGCTGGCCAAGTACCTGAAAATAGGAATACAGTTAATGTCTGTCATATAAGTGTCCAACACATAAGCAAATTAATTTTTAAATATGATTTTCATTTTCGTTGTGTTGTTTTGCGTGTGTCCCCTTTCCTTCTCTTTCCAGCCCCTAAGATAACTCTTTGGCAAGCTGAGCCAAACCCAGAGCATGTTCTTTCTGCTACTGTTGAAACCAGGGACATTGTCTCCATGGTTTGCAGATAACAGAATTATTTCATTTTGAAAAACTTCAAGCCAGTCATTCCTGCCAAGTCTGTGGAGGGTGAATCCAAGAGGCGCTCATGGCTGAATGCTGGGCCTGTGAGAATCCTTAAGAACGCATGGGTGAGCTGAGAGGTGTTTCTCAAATCCTTACCAGGTGTTGCCTTGGCCCATTGATCTAATCCCTTAGGCAGGAAAATTTCTCTCTCTCTACTCCCCCTTCCTCCATCCTCTGACTGCCTTCTATTCTCCAGTTAAGACTCGGTGTCTCCTGAGTGCTTCTGGAGTCCAGAACATTTCCTAGCTCCCCTCCCAAGTGCCTCTCCAGTGCATACATTTATAACCACACTTCCTGGATTGTCCTTAGCTAAATCATGTCTCACCGACCACCAGCTGTGAATTCTTTAAGGACTGAGACAATGCTGGCTGTTTGCATTTATATAATTGTACATTTGCAGAATTACTGGTTTTCACATGTTTTCAGATTAGTTGAGGCACCCTAGGGAGTCCTTCTAATTGTACTGGTTAATTACAAAATTGGTGGAGTTAAATTAGGGACATTTCCTAGAAGTGATTCCAGAAGGAAAAATAATTTTTTCAATCAAGTCAAAGATTTCATAGCTGGAAAGGAAGATGTAGGCCTATTTGTGCAGACCTGATAAATACAGATAACTAGGGTAGAGCAGTTTGGTCTTTAATTCATGCTTCTCTATCCCAAATAGAAATAGAGGTAGAGGTACCTCTATCCTTACCATGGGTCCTATGGACACACACATTTTATTTCATAGCAAAGACTCCTTATAACATTTCCCTCATTAACCTCTTACATTTTTTTTCTCTTTTTCATCAGTTTGCAGTGAATCTTGTTCTCAAAAGCTTTCCAACCAGCCACTCCGTTTTAATCTCTTTTTCTCCAATTCTTTTTCCATACTTCCCCTAAATTCTCTTCCTAAAATTCCTTTATCATTACAGTGAACTTTGTTGGGTGTCTTGGCGAGTCCTCCCAAATTCCTCCTAGTAGATCCCCAATTATGATTATTTATTCATTCATCAAATAGTCCATTTGCCCAATAATATCATGACTGGTCTAACTGGTCTAGTTTCCCACACCTTCACCATTCATTGGATAAGGGACAAGGGACTGGTATGTGATCCAATTTTAACTCATAAAGAGGCTAAGAAAGTTTGCAACAGATGTCGGGAAGATTCTTCTTTTCTCATAAACGAGAATTATAGAAAGCCTCTAATGTCTCATTTTTAAACAGGTAAACATGCAGCCCCTAATGCTACTGGGAACCATCTTTCTACCTTGAAAAGATCGTACTTATAAAGAACCAATATTGTACAAAGTGAAAAGAGATGGAAAACCCAGGTCCTTGGTGAATATCATTAAATTGATCTACCTACCCAAATGCCTTCCTTACCTCACCTCTTGGAATGTGAGCCAATAAAATCTGTTTAAAGGCACTTTTAAACAGTCAAAGCCTCCTGCCTGAGATAGCTTTTTTTTTTTCAATTTCTTATTCAAAATGCTAAAATGATTGAGAAATAAGTACTTTTCTTAGCATAGCATTTGAAAACGTTATCCTGGCCCCTTTGCATTTGTGCATTTGTTTCTCATTATTTTCTGCTAGGCATCTTACATTTTAACCATGCTGGGCTACTTGTTCTAATCATGTCATTTGCTATCCCATAGCACAGCCTGTCTTCGTCCTGCATTTTCTCCTACCAAAATCCAACTCTTCCTTTAAGGTCCAGATTAAAACACACTTTCTCTGAAGTGGATTTTCAGATTTAATATTTCAACCTTCTATATTTTCATACATGTTGCTTGTACCTCTGTGTGTAAGTTTGGGTCCCCCAAGAAGCCAAGCCAAGATGGGATTATATGTGCAACAACTTTATTAAGGAAAATGTCTGAAAAAACAAAATGAGGAGAGAGCTAGGCAAGGCTGGGAGCCATCAGACTAGAATCAAGTCTGACCCTGAGTGAAGGAGAGAGAAGGAAGGAAGGAAGTTGGATGCAGTATAGTTCTATGGAAAGTTCAGTAAGGCTGTTGATGAATCCTCAAGCCAAAGTCTTCCATTGGAGGGGTTCAGCTTCTCCCCAGAAGTGAGCTGCTTTAGTATCACTGCCACCATCAGTGGTTACCTAGAAGAAGCCTGTGGGGTAGGTGGCTTGAGCAAAACGCTGTGTGACTGTCAAGGGCATAAGAGCTATGGCCTTAGTCAGCTATGCTCCCTGCAGCTAGAAGGGTAGGACGCACTTTCTCATGGCTGCCATGCTTCTTATCACTCACTTGATCTTGTCCTACATTCTATTTGTCATATAGATGAGTCTCTTCTTTACTAGATTATAGACTCCTTAAGGCTAGGATTTGGGTCCATCTTTGTCCCATTGTATGTTTCACATAGTAGGATCCCAGCAGATTGTTACTCGTTACTCAAGCTGAATTATAGAATATGTGGCCTCAAACTTCTGTATTAATAACTCCTTACAAAAGTAATAGGGAGTGGGGCGCCTGGGTGGCTCAGTCGGTTAAGTGTCTGTCTTCGGCTCAGGTCATGATCTCAGGGTCCTGGGATTCAGCCCCATGTAGGGCTCCCTGCTAAGTAGGGAGTCTGCTTCTCCTTTTCCCTCTGCCCCTGCTCGTGCTCTCTCTCTCAAATAAAAAAAAAAAAAAAAGGAAGTAATAGGAAGAATGCCTGTGCTCTCTCTCGCAAATAAAAAAAAATAAAAAAGTGATAGGGAGAATGCTCCCCTAAAGTCCATGAGAACTTGCTTCCAGAAGATATCAAATACTATTCCATGATTAATATTTTTAAAATGAACAGTCTCTGTCCCTTGTCTACTAAACCCTGCAGGTCAACGAGTCTCCACACAGAAGCCATACTCTGAAACTTCAGGGTCCATGAGGCAGTGAAGTTGAGTACTGGCTGATTAATGCCCTATTTTTCACGAACTCAATCCCCAAGGCCAGTGGATTCCTGAACTTTTGGGTTAAATTTATAATGCACTTTGGTTCTTGACTGGGAAAATAAATTTCTCTGGCATGTTACACTTTGTACTATTTCCTCAGCATCCATTTTTAGGAGATACGAGAATGGATCTTTCAGGTACATTTTCCAGATAAAAATAAGTTAAAAGTGATACCTCCTTTCACCTTCCTGCTAATGAGCTTTCTCCTCTTTGTGTCTTCAAACCACCCCACCCCCCCTTTTAGCTCATATAAGCTTCCTGTTGCCTCATTGTCTTTGGAACTTCATGTCTGTGTGGATTCCCCATATGTACACCTATTAAATGTGATTTTCTCCTGTTAATCTGTCTCATGTCAATTTGATTCTAAATCCAGCTAGAAGGACCGTAGGGTAGAAGAAAATTTTCCACCCTGACAACCCCTGGGCTGAGGGAGGAAGGAGGCCCTCCCTAAGCCTGGGATCCAGCCCTCTTTGGGATAGCTGTTGTCCACTGGATGGTAAAGAAGTTTGCCGGTTTTGCCAGGCCAGAACTGGTCCACAATCAGTAAGCTGAGGCTAGTGGGCATGAACTGTAGGGGCTGGGACTCCCAAGCTGGAGCCTTCCTGCAGCAGTGCCAATGGGCTAAGGCTAGTTTAGCGATTCCTGCATTGCCCACTGGGATACTGATGACACTTGCTGGGAGGCTGCCTCCAGAGGCTGCTGTTGAACAAAGCTAGACAGATACCAGCTGGACTTACCAGAAAAGTCACCTGTAAGAGGTATGGTGGAACTCTCCGAGCACCCCCACAACACAGCTGAATCCATGGGTGAGGGTGTGCCACCCAAATTCCTGATCTCAAACTAGCTGGAGTGACTGCAGAACTCATCCAGAAGCTGCTGCCTGGAGATGGGGAGCTACGGCTGGACTGCCCCCTGGAGAGCCTGCTCAGATGACTGCAGAACTCACCCACTAACTGCCTGGGAGGTACTGCTGTACTTACTGCTGGAAAGCCTAGGGCAGCACTTGGGGGAGGTACTGCAAAGACTTTCATGGGGATGCTGCTGAAACCCACCAGATGAGAGCTCCACTTAAATGTCCTGCATGCCAGCCCAACACTGCGAGAGCACAATGGAATGCT